GGAAGGGGCCGCCGGGCTCCCCTCGGCCGGGGGCGAATCCAGGCTCCCCGACATGGCTCTGCCCCGTGAGGGGAACTCAAACAGCAGCGATATTGCCGGTTTATTTAAGTTTGTCAAACTTCTGGGGATTTTTGGATGAGAAATACTGTACAGCGGTGCTGAAAGTGCTTCGTGGTGCTACCTGCTGCTCTTCCTAAAATACCTGCTTATCTGCGTGATGCATGTTTTTTTCCCACTAGACAATGAATGACTGGGCCCCCATAGCAAAGGAGTATGACCCCCTCAAAGCCGGGAGCATTGATGGCACAGATGAAGAGCCCCACGACCGTGCCATATGGAGGGCTATGTTGGCACGCTACGTACCCAACAAGGGAGTTACAGGAGATCCTCACCTCACCCTGTTCGTAGCAAGGCTCAATCTTCAGACAACAGAAGAGAAGTTAAAGGAGGTCTTTTCCCGGTATGGAGACATCAGAAAGATCCGTCTGGTTCGAGACTTGGTCACAGGATTTTCCAAGGGTTACGCGTTTATTGAGTACAAAGAGGAGCGTGCTCTCTTGAAGGCCCACAGAGATGCCAACAGGCTGGTTATTGATCAACATGAGATCTTTGTAGACTTTGAACTGGAAAGAACTCTCAAAGGATGGATTCCTCGGAGGCTTGGGGGTGGTTTTGGAGGCAAAAAAGAATCCGGGCAGCTACGGTTTGGAGGACGGGACAGACCTTTCCGAAAGCCCATCAATTTGCCAAACATGAAAAATGATTTCTATGGAGAAGGATCAGCAGAGAAAAGAAACTGGTCTCGTGAAGGAACAAGGGACTGGAGAACAAGGGACCGAGACCATGAAAGGAGCAGAGACAAGCGATGGCCAGAAAGGGAGCGGTCGTGGGCTTGGGGTGAAAGTGAGAGAGAGAGGGACTCCAAAGAGGAGAGGAGCAGAGGGAGGGAGAGGAAGGACAGAGACAGGAAGGACAGGGATAGAGACCGGAGCAGGGAAAGAGATACCAAGAAACAAAGAGACGATGATAAGCATCGATAGGTGACAGTGCCTTGTCGTTGGGGTGTGGTGTCTACTCTTACATCCACAACGTTTCAGTTGCGGATGTTGCCTTCAGCTTGGGGCTGTGAGCAGCATTCCCTGAACAAGGAGCTGTGCTGTTACTGTCTTGTGCCTGTGACTCTCACCTGCTGGAAGCTCTCTGTAGTTCAGTTGCTGACACAGTTAAGATAACATGTTGAATTGTCCTTCAGAGAAAATAAACTTTTTGTATTAATATTTTTGAACTGGTGAATGCTGTAAGAAATGCACCGCACGTACGGGCATGCCACTGAAACTGAGTACACATCTCGTTTGATACCCATCTGGCCGCCTGGATTAGGGTTCATGAGAGAGCTCCGTATTTAATTCTTTATGTGCCAGATGTCCACACATTTAGTGAGACAGATGCCCTTTATGAAATAGTCACTTGTTGAAGAAAGAGTAACGGAATAGCAAGAAACTAAGCTTCTGAAAAATGTGGCCCAAATGGGAAGTGACTTTATTTTCTTGAAGACACTGGGGCAAGTGAGATCTTTAGTAATACTATGTCCTTAACTCATTCTGAGGTGGGAGAGAAACATGTAATAAGAAATCTTTTTTTTTTACGTCATGGGAGGATGTCATTCCTGAGGTGGGAGAGAAGCATGTAATAAATTTTTTTACGTCATGGGAGGATGTCATTCCCTTTTATTAGAGGAATGCGCACTACAGAGCAGTAAGCAGGTCAGAAAACGCCTAATGTTCCTGATCAATCCATGGACAATCACTGAAGGACGGTGTCACAGTTCAATGTGGTTGCAGCTGCACCCACTTGGTCCTCTCCCCGTCTCTGCAAGTGAAGTCCTGCCTGCACGGGGTTTAAATCTTGCTCTGGAAACTGGGCTTGCTGCTGGTTGTAGCTGAATCGGGGAAAATGGGGGGCAAAGCATCTCCTTTTTCAGAGCCAGGACGTGCATACAGACACACGTCTTCCACTGAGGAGCTTACAGTGCTTTCTAGAAAAGGCTCCGTTGTGTTCTTTGTCATCGTAAGCAATTCCTAAATATTTGCTAATGTATTTTAAACTGTATTTTTTTATTGGCCTTTGAATGGCCCTATCCTAAACCTTGCCCAGTTTGAGGCTTTATTTCCATGAAGAGTTGTATGAGCTTTTTTCAAGGGAAAGACGACAGACCCGTATGCTGCATCCCCAAGAAGAGATGGTATTAACTTTCCACAAAAAAAAAAGGACACAAGTCTTGCAGAAATACTTGTTTTTCAGAAGTATTTATTAAACTGTTAAAATGATTTACTGCCCAACAAAAAAAAAAAAACAACAAAACAGAACACCTAAAAAACCTTCAGTGATCCTGCACTTTGCAGACAGGATTGTTACACCCCTTACCTGACAACATTCCGGCCCCTTTTCTAAAAGCAGATTTTACTTGAATATTGAAAAACAATACAGACAGATCTTCAAATCTTTACATACTCTTCCCTACCCGCCATCCTCTCCGATGGCACTTGGAGTGCATAAACTCAGCATTTCTAGCACGAGAACAAGGAGCAAAGTGGTTAATGCTGGCATGTCAGGAGTAACTAATCAGATTTTTGAGGTAACAGGCTACAGAGATGAGTGGGGGAAGGTTGTAGTGCTTAGTGCCATTGTTTGAATTGGCTGCAGATCTGACCCAACAATAGTGCACTGGGCTCTGGCGTACGGGACGAGCTTTATGTGCACCAGGCCAGGAGACGTCCTTTGTAATACACCAGCTTAGGTGCTGGGGAAAAACAGTTCAGTCTGTGTATTTCTATTATCCCAGTTCGTTGCCCTCAGCTGATTTCAGAAGTGATGTGCTTATTCAGGCTGTGCATCCGCTGCATTCTTGCATTGTTTCTGATCACTGCATCTCTTCTAAATGTGCCAAACGACTGTAAACTATGCTAGGGAGAGACTCACGGGCATCATTCACAATTTACTTTAACTGCCTGATATAACGGTAGTGTACTTTTTTTTCCCTAATATGGAAGTGAAATCGAGATCTTAGCAACTTAAGTATCATTAAATTAAGACACTCCCCCCCATTTAAGAATTGCTTTTCACACACGGTGGGGAAGTGCTGCCGTTTTATGGATACAGCTTTCTGTAAGCATAGAACTTAAGATATGTTACCGAAATGTAACCAGGCAAAAGCGTATCTGCCTAACACTAGCATCAGACACTACCGTCACTATTTCAAATGCAGATGTCTTTCATAATAAGGCCACACATCCCCCCCGCCCCAAACTGCAGTGACACCAGGGAGGCACAGTAAACACACTCTCTACCTGGAACACGCGCAAGGTCCGTGTTCAAAATGAAGCACAGTTACAGTCAGGAGCAGAGCAGCATTCAGCCCACCATTGCAAAGAATGCTTTCCTGGCCCAGTTTCACGACAGATGGGCTAAGAACCATTTGCTGCTCACACACGTTAAAGAATCCAGAGTCTTGGATCTTGTTGTATTAAAAGCAACTGGCCTGTACTAAACCCTCTGGCTTGCTTTCATCTAGGAGGCCTTTGAGACTTCCTCCTACATTCCGTACCTGGAGTACCTGGAGCTTTCCTCCAGCCTGAGCATCGTTTCCTGTTCCTAGTGCCACTCCTGAGAAGAGGCTCTTTACAGAGCAGATGTAGTTCCTGGGGGTCAGGTGCCAACAGCAGCTCACAGCCCCCTGCACTAAGCTACACGTGCAGAAGTTGCCTACAGCCTTGTGGTAACTAGCTACTCCTCACCAGCAGCACTGCGCTCCAGTGCGGACTCTCCTAGCATACAGCCAAGTTCACAGAAAGACCTCAGCACCTCCCTCGCAAGGAGCTGTGGATGCACTCGCCCTCTCCCGTCTGGTTAGGTGCCTTCGTGGAGCGTGTGGTGCAGAGGTGGGGTGCGTGCTGACACCGGACCGTACGCAACAGTTACGCTGCATGGGGTTTTAGTGTCATGGTTTTTTTAAGTACAACTGAGGTCTCACAATCTCGATTGCAAAGCAGATCTAAATCCCACCTCCTGGCAGCTCAGCTGTGCTGGGCTTTTGCTGGCGAGTTAAGCCCCTGTAACTGCAGGCGACCCAGACATCAACCAACACCAGTGGAACAGCCTGCATATATAGAATTCACCCGCTCTGCCCAAGTAGTGTTTAGACTAGTCAGAGAAAACGTTTTGAGTTGGGGACATCTCTAAGTCAGTTAAAATAGTTTATGTCAGCTAGCTGAGGATGTCTTTCGCTCTGAAGTTAGGCAGTCTTACCTAGACAGAAAAGTGGAGTGTGACTTAATTAAAAACCTGTCTGTGGGAAAGAGACCCAATTCCTTTACAGCAGCTGTCTGCTACTCTAGGGGGAAGTCCCTAGTAAGAAGGAAAAAATTCAAGTGTTAGAATTCCTCCTTGTAAGCAATTTGTTTTCCATTAATACTGCAGAACTCATGGCAAAATGCAAGGCACGCTCACCTCATACATCGGTTTCTTCACGCTTTAGGCACTATAAGCAGCAAGGGAAATACACACTCACTATCCCTCTCAAGGCTACTCCAGTTTATCAGTTTGTACCAGGTGGATTTCCAAGTGGTTACTCTGCAAAATGCAGATGTCAGCTGAACTTGACAGGACACAGCAGTGCTAAGACCTGCCACGGAGAGTGGCCAGCTGTCGTATCCCTCTTGAAAAAATTCTTACAGAATTAAAAAGCAAACAACCGATAGTGTTAACAAACAGGGTAAAAGCAAACAACCGATAGTGTTAACAAACAGGGTAAAAGAGTCTTTGCCACTAGATATTGGACACTGCAAACAAACTTCTAATAATGGCACAGGTCCTTTTTTTGGTTTAAAGAAGCTTGTGTTACTGTAGTTAATGCATGAACAAGACCATAGACTTGTTACTCAGCACAAAACAAGTCATCTAGAAGCTTCGATGTCCCAGGGTATCGGCGGCTGTTACTACAAAGCTTGGATTCTGTTTTCAGCAAACAGGCACCAAGTAAACAGTGAGGGATCCCTTTTGACGAGTACATCTGAAACACAACCACTGAGGTGTGCAAGGCAAATAAAAGTGATGAGCTGCCGGATTTGCTTACGGAAGCTTCTTGTTACTAGACTGTCGAGATCTACTGCGGTAAACCGAACACCTCAAGGTTTTAGTCACAGGTGCTGCAGAGCTTCTTGTCCTTGTTCGGTGTAGGAGTCATCTTTATTTGAATTTGACCATTCTCCAAAAGTATCCTGGAAGTGGACATTTTTCTGTGATGCCTGCATACGTTTCTTATCACGAGAGAAGAAACTAAACCTTCCGGGAAGGGAGGAGTAAGGGAGGGGAGGGAAAAGAAAGAAGACTGTTTACCATCTTGAAAACACTTCAAACACCCGACACGATACACAGCACAACAAAACACAGAGCAAAAAAATCTGTTTGCATCTGCAAAAATCAAGGCAGTGAAGCCTGATGGGAGTGCATGTCAAAATGTTATTAGAGATGAAGCCATTGCAATCTCAAGCGGTTTGGCTATGGAAGCTTCAGATAAGCTCTAAATGCTGTTGACTCTACAAGGTGCAAGTATCATTTTAGATGTATATTCCCCCTTCCCCAGCCCTGCGATAAAGAAGCGACACAATACAAGTTAGTTTCTTGGCATAAGTAAAGTGGTATCTTCGGCATTAAATCTGTATCATTTACCATAAAGCAGAAATAGACAATGTTTTTAAGGGTGTCAGCAGGGAAATTCATAAGATAAGAAAATAAGCCTCCACATTTTTTCCAAGTGTACAGACTTTGACAGACAGACTTGATTCCTGCAAAAATAAATGAGTAAATGCACGTATGTGCACAAGAGTTTGCAGGATGAAGGCTCTAAACAAACGCACACAAGTGTGCACGTCATTTCCTGTCACACAGCTTGGGTGCTCTAAGAGAATGACGTACTTGAACCAACAGCCATTTAATACAACAACAAATTGCCAGCTGACAACAGAGCTAAAAAAATACAGTTGGAAAAAGCCTTAGTATCATTTTATTTGTATAGGATGAAGTTACTTGATTAGGCAAGTTCAATGTTCGTCCTGAGTTCAGTACAAGAGGTGTTAGTGCAGTGTTTAGGTCTGCTGAGAAATGCAAAAGTTGTGGTTCCAGCTACCAAAGGTTTGAACTGGCTGCATACCCTTTTGGTTTTAATGGTGCATTTTAAGAGGTAAATACTGTTTCGCTTGCACAGTACCAAGCATAATGCAATTCTGATCCAGGACGGGAATCGCTAAATGCTGCTACAGGAAGAGACTAAACAAATAGAAACTCAACTTTGACAGGTGATGGAATATTTGTCAGGGCATAAACCTGACCCTATGTCCACACCCCACCGCCCTCAGCATTCTTCCTCCACTCACACTCCCTTAAGTGTCCCCTCAGTACCATGATCCCAACTGTCCAAGCCACCTTGTGCAGACCAGGGAGTTCTGCCTTCGATGTCTCTAGTCACATAGGAGGCTGTATTTGAGTGTCAATGAGGTTTAAGGTAGCTTTCCTGAAAAAATATCCTATCATATGTGCAGGTAAGCAGGATGATAATTGTTAAGAATATCAAGAATATTAAGAATAATTATTTCTTGACTAGAAAGTGATCTAAAAAGCTACACAAGTGCATAGCTACATAACTAACATTGCTAGCAGGACCCGAACTTTTGCATTTCCTGGCTTCAAATGTGCAGCCATAATAGTGAAATAAGTCTTTTGCACTTAATTAGCCTCATACTTTTCTACCACCTTCATCACAGGAGCTCTTAAATTCACACACATATGCTATGTCTTTTCAGGGCCAGATCCAATTCCAGCTGATAAAAGAAGTGTCTAGTCACGGAGGCTTTCTGCTGAGCATGTTTGGTCCTGCATGGTCAGGCTTACTATCTTGGAAGTCCACACAAAGGACAGCTGTATTTATGCAGTAAGTTTCAAATGTCAAAGTTCAGTAATTTTTCACTTTATCATGAAATTAAGTAAGAGAAAAATATGTTCGTAAAATCTCTACACGAAGCAGAAGGGTTAGGCTTTTTTAATTCCTTCTGAAACAATGAAAATTGTTATTATGCCTAAAAAACTCTCATGGAGGATGTTTGGAAAAAGCGCGTCTGTGTGGAGAGGAAGGGAATTTAAATACTCTGTTGCTGCTGTAAATATAAAGATCACTAAAGCAGCAGTTCTAATGCAAAGAGAGTTTGCATTAACAATTATCAGTATGTCTTCCAGGGACAGCCAAGAATAGGATGATAGCATTGATTATTGAGAGTGTATACTCCATTCCAAAATACATAATTAGAGACAAAATATACAGTGCATAGACAGAAAGACATGGAAACGACAGCCTATAATTGACACTGGAAATTAATGTAGATATCAGCTATTACATTCTGTAAATCTAACTAACTGATTTGTAACGAGTCATTAGAATGACATGGGTTTCTTAAAAAGCATCGGTATGAATTGTGAATAGGCACGCTTAGTAAGCAAGATTAACAGATGCTGGTTAAAATTGCATATTGCAACAATTTTCTCAGGAATAATGACTGGTTTAGCATGGTAACATTAAGGCGAAAGGTGATAAAATGTCAGTACTTGAGGATGAGCATGGAGGACTGCGATGAGTTGTGTACTGACTGGTCATTCTGATTGGCACTTTGTTCTTCTGTGATCCCACAGGCAGCCGATGAGAATGCAACCAGCAGTGCATGTTAACACAGGGTCATGCAAAAGGAAACCACGGTACCAAACATTTAAAAAAAAAATTCCTACAAGGGACACAAGTCTTCTTATTGGCTGCAATGTGGGATCGTCTGGAATCAATCCAGCTGCTACCATGGGCATTATGGCTGTAAAGATCCTGGTCAGGAAAGTACAGACACAGAAGAGATAAGACTGGAGCAGGGGAAAGAAAAAGCATTCCATTAAAAAGAAAAGAGGCAAACATGATACACGGGGTTACTTTGAATTACCACACAGGACATGTTACAGGGAGAGGTGGATCTGCATCACCCAAGACAGCTCTCCTCAGTGAAAAACTCATATTTAGAAAAAGCAGTCATTGAAACAATTTAAATTGCTTTTGAATTTCTAAAAGATACCACTTTTCTGTTGTGAGGCAGCCTGCAATCCGGGTTGGATTTCATCAAGGTATTACCACCTCTAGCAATGCAGAGCAGAGTGCACATTTTTCTTCCCAAGAAACAAACAGGCACATACATAATGAAATGAAGGATGAAGGTGTATGTTAAGAAATACAAAACAGGACTCTGCTGTGACTACCGGATATTTGCACGGAAAACAGGGTTAGACGGGACCAGCATTACAGTTAAAGATTTTACAAATGTTACAGTTGACAGTTTCAAGTTAAAAACCAGTATCGCAGGTGAAATCTTGAAATAACCTCCTATGCAAGCTACTTGGTTAAAGGGCCTGTGTATCTGTTCCAAAAGAACCTTCATTGCTTCACATGCAGAAAGATGCCAACTGCAGGCAGCTAAATACTTACTGAAACCTTGCAACTACTCTAGCAGAAACACTTTCTAGCTGGCCAGCAGCAAGACCGTTTCTTTGTAAGAGTTCAGCACTTTTACTATGCATTATACAATTCATGCAACTTAGAGGATGAGAGCGCGCTCTGGCTAGGTGCTCTGTCCACAGCCAGCCCCACACAAACCTGCCAACACACCTTCATCCATACCTGGAACACTCTCTGTTTTTCTAAGGATTCTCCTCAGAGGTTCTCCCTTGTGCCAAATATTTTTTTGAACTGTGGACTAATGTCAATTAAAGATTAAGTTGAAATCACAAGAGACATTTCACTTGTGACCAAATGCAGCTCTCCCCAACACAGTCACTCTAACTGCTATTCTTAGATTAAAAATGAAAACAAAGAAGCAAACATTGTTATATCATTAGCAGTAGCTAGGACTTCTATTTTTACGCATTGTGGCATGGTCCGTGAGCTGCAGAAATGAGACAGACACATCAGCTTTTGTAAACTGCAAGAATAGGAAGAAAACTTATGGCTGTTTCAGGCATTACATCAGCGACAAACAAGCACGTATCCTTAAAGAGAAAACAAAAGGGTGTTTTCTGCTCAAAACAGAGGGAGCATTTTTAATCCTTCTACTTTTCCTCCTCAGTAAAGCCTCCTGGTTACATTATTTCATCAAAACTCTGACATGTGCTGTGGTAGAGACAAATGTAGAAATCAGTCAGTTGGAGATCAGAACTCAGTCAGAGTTTGCCCCAAATGTGCAAACCCTGGGAGTGAAAAAATGTTGATTTCTGTAACTCCTGTTTTCCTTTCTTTACGGGGATGCAGCACAGAATCACCTGAGCACATCTTAGATGGCACAGGGTACATATACAAATGACTCATTCCTTGAGATACTGCGTGGTCAAGGAAAAAAGGGCACATTACACAGGCAAGCATAAAACTTCTCTTGAGAGGACAGCAACAGCGTCTCCTATTTTTGTACTTCAGCTTTTTGTTTAATCAGGAGAAAAAGTCTGAAATGGAGGGAAAAGCAACCCTACTTTCATTTGTAAAGGCAGTCTGCACATCATTAGGTATGGAGAGTTTACGTGCCAGTGTGTTACCCAGGTAGCCTTATAGCGAGGTGCTGACAGCATCCTGCCTGGGAGAGGGAGAAGGGAGCTCTGGAGACAGCTCGCAGCAGGCAGGGACTGCATGTGGGGCAGGAGGGGTGTTATAACAGGGCAGAACAGATGCTACACTTGGGTTCTTTGTTTCTCCCAGCAGTGAAATTTCCTGTCTTTTTAAAGCCCATCTGCAAGTACACTGTTGACAACACACAGAGAGGAGGGGGGAAAGAAAATAAACCCACGCTAGACAAACCCTATCCAGACAGGCTGCAAGAATAAGACAAACCTGAAAACTATTACCACCCTTCGGGTTACTTAAGTAGACGGTTTTATCTTCCCTTATGTAATACGATGGCTGAAGGAAGAGAGAGCAGAAAGAAACCTGGGGACAGAGCATGACAGCTAAAGAAAGTAATTTCATCTTATCAGCAGGTTCAATACGTGCTTCCACTGTCTGGCAGAAGAGGACTCTTGCCTTTTCTGAAAGGGGCCAAAACAACACGATTTTATGTTTTATTGTGTGCAGGTTTAGTTATATGAATTCAACACAGAATTTGAGAAACAGAAAGATTAGACAGGTGTCTGAAAATGTGCATTGATTGAATGATCTGATGCTCAACAGGTTTTCACTAATAAATTAACAGAGAGGAAGAAAGCACTGAGATGACTGGTTGAAAACACTTATGTGCCTCCTGCCATGGCTCCCTGCGTTGCTTACACATGTATGCAGAAGGCAGAGTCACAGCTAATACCTCGTCAGCACGTGCTCTGTCTTACAACGTCTATTTACATTTTTATGCTGCCTTTGCTTCATAAATCAAGCATGGTAACTGCAGTCAACACAAACCGCGTAAGGTGAAACCAGCCATCCCCCACAATGGGATAAGCTTTAAAAAGTACTAAAATAAATTTAAAAGAAAAGAGAAGCTTTACAGTGGAGATCTTGTGAGGCAAAGTAGTAGTATCATCATCACAGTTGCAGAATGAAAACTTAAGTCCAAACTCAAAGTGTATTTTCTAGTCATGTGAGAGGAAGGGTTCTCTCAGCAAACAAAGCGGCACAGACAGAAGCTGGAGTCTACTGAAAATAATCCAAAGTGCCCTCCTGACTTTATGGTGTTTTGGATCAGTCCAGATCTTCCAATGGAACTTACTCTCACAGGGCTGCTGCTATTATTAAACAAGAACTGAAGGTTATGGACATGGGGACAGGATGGAAGAGCTTTTTATGTGGAAACAAATGACTGTTCCAAAATCATTTATGCAGTTAAAAAAGTTAAGCTTCCAGTATCACAAAAATTCAAAGACTTGCTATAAGGTTACAGGACTTAATTAGGAATAAATAAATGTACAAGGAGGGAGTTTCAACAGACAAATGGATTGGCTAACACTGTGATTTTATAATTAAGTGATACACTAGTAAATGCACACCTCTGACAGTAAGCTTAGGTTTTGGACAGCAACATTAAACACTTCACCAGAAGAAGGTGGGGTTCTTTATAGCCAAGAAAGCTAGCATCCTCTCCAGCAGCAAATTTGTTCAGCAAACAAGAGTTTTGTGCTGTACACATAGTGCAAGTCGGGGTCTAAAGGCTTAGGTCAACAGGGAAACGGGCACAGTGAGGTCATGGGGAAACCTTGCTCTCCACACCCAACTGCTACAGGTCTGTGGCTGGTTTTACTTGTGAACAACACTCTTTACACGTCTTCCGAGCATGACCTGGGGGCCAGCAGTTTCTGACACTCCACCACCTTAGGATCTGTGTGTTAAGGAACTGGGACTTGCATTTGAACAGGAGCATTGTTCCTACAATCCTTGCACACCAAGATCTGGCACTGACTTCAGTTTTGGGCACACAGGACAGACTGAGCGGTGCTCTGGTTAAGACCACAACTAGTAGCACCTCCCTTTGGAGTATGACTACATGGCCCAGACAAGAAAATTCTCTGGGAAGATCAGGCATCCGTGTTTAAGAGCTCATCACCTCATACCGGCTATAATAAAACATTGCAACACATGCTCTTTTGGTTAGCCTGAACAGTGTACTTAAGAAGGAAACACGAGAACTGGAGCAGGCTCCTTGGGCACACCAGTCTAGCCCATAAACACAAGCACATGGAGTACTGTTGGACTCCCTACTGCGGTCTGCACATAGGGAGCAAAAGGTACCACAGGAAATAATCTGAGACTGAAGGTTGTCCCAGATCTAGGCAAAAGTTTTGGCCAAAGCCAACTGCTGTTTCATGGTACCTGTCAAGTGCTCCCTTCAATGCCTCTCCCATATCCATTAGGGATGTGGTTATCTTAACTTTTAAATTCTTTAAAATTGTCCTTCCCATAAGAAACATTTAGTACTCGCAGACTATATCCAGTATCCTTAGAAAATACGCTACTTACAGTCGTTTGATTCCAGATTCAGGCTGAGTTGAGGGTTTTGACTGAATTATGGGTGTAGGTTGAGGGGATCTAGTCTCTTCTTCTGTTTCCTCACTTGAAAGAAAGAAAAGATAATTAATGTTCTCCTCCCAAGCTATGGAAGCACTTTAAGTTCTAAAATTCACTCTGAGGTAGTACTGTTGATGAAGAAATACAAAAAGATCTGTTCAAAGCTCATTGAAATCAATGGGAGATTTTTCTGTCAACCAAGGAACAGCACCTAGAACTGGGTCTCCTTCCAATATTTTCTTCCCATTGTGACAAGGAGAGGGAGAAGAGGAATGCATTGAATAAAAGTTCTAGAATTTTCATTTTAGACCCACTTTTATCCTCATTTTTGAAGTTCAAAAGTATTAAATGTTTGTAATCTTTCTAAGGTACAGGGGGAACCTGGGAGTTAGAGAAGGACATAGTTTTTCCCAATTTTGAGGGACCAGATTCAAACTAAAGCTGTATGCTTGCAATCTCTGCTTTAAGCTTTTGCAGAAATATAAGCTTGTTGGACACTACTTAAGAGAACATTTATTGTTTCTAGACCTGCCCTATGGCTCCTCTGTGTATAGCATGCAACAGGAGAGGAGATCTAACCTACCTTTTGTAATATAAAAGCTCCTCTTGAAGTAAAAACACTTTAGATTTCAATTCATTCCTCTCATGAAGGACATCCCGGAGCTCCTGCAAGGTGAATCTTGGACGATTCGGATCTTTTAAGTCCATTGCCATCTTTTCTGACTCTGAGAGGCAGTCATCATTGTTTGGTTCTGCCTAGGAAGTGAAACGTGGGCTTTAAATTCACCATGCGAGTGCATGTCTGAGGAGTTTGAAGTATTTATCAGTCTACTTCCCAACCTCTTCCTTTCAGCACTATTAAATCCTCTTTTAAGAGAAACACAGCAATTTTAAGAGGAAAAAAAATGTAGAAGGAATTAGTTTTTCATGTTAAAGACTGTCAGCAAGAACAGCTCAGTGATCTGATCACTTTGTTCTTTCCTGTGCTCAGGTCGACTGATGACCCACACAGGACTGGTGAGACCGTGGCAAGCCTCTGAAAGATGCTCTGAGCTCTGTTTTACCTCTCTTCACCTGGTGTTCAGGGGAAGCTTGCGAACGAGGAAGACCCAAGTTTTGTGACCTACAACCAAAGCCCTGTGCTCACAGGAATTTTTCACAGAGTTACATGTTTGGGAAAACAAAACCACCAATTGTTTCTAGCAGGCCTGAACACAGGGTCCAACTTGAGCCACCTTATAGGTGGTAAGTTTTCTTGTGGAGAAATTTCTGGGGAATCCAGACTGCCAGAAAGTCCACTGAAAATGTATAGTCCAATTTTTGATAAACAAGTCAGGTTAAGGAATTCATACTTTTAACAAATGGGGTAAATCAAACATCAGCCTTTTATATAAACACTGAAAAAACTGCCTAGCGAAGATCATAACAGTTCCTTCCAGCTCTCCTCCCACAAAGAGAAAGCTCCTTTGGATGTAAACATATTAAATGGAGATTTAAGTTTATAACCCCTTAATGCCTTTATTAAAAAAGCAGGATTGGTGTTAGCACCAGGATCTAGCTACAAAGTGGAAGAAAATTGCAGATGAATGCCAGATGAGGCATTTATACACGTGTACCCTTGTCTCTTCTTTTCCTCTGAGAAGAGTTCACTGGAAGCTTGGAGGAATTTTATCTCCCACCCCCCAGTTTCTGTGGCTCCCAACAAGCCAGAAGTGCACTCTAGGCACATGGTTGGATTCCCAGGCCTGTTGGGCTGCTTCCTGTCACCCAGGTAGACTCTAGCACTTGCACAGAACTATTCGGCTCTAACTGCTTGTGAAAATGTGGTCTGTATAAACACAGCACAGAGAAGACCATCATTCAGGTCCTCTACTGTTGTTCCACTCAGTGGCTGCACAGAGCTGAGGACCAGTTACTGAGAAATCACAAGCTTTAAGGAAGGGTACTCAGAATCAAGATGCTGAAAAGCAGCTGCGAGCCTTTAGAGGTCTGTAGGATTTCTAACAATACAAATAAATGCAGGGCACTCTGTTCCAGCAAAGTACATTAGAAATGTTGCAAAGTACATTAGAAATGTGATGCTTTTTGCAAGGACTGACTAAAAGCCAGCACATGAAATCAGAGATGCCAGCAACCAGGTCAGCCACCCGTCCTCCTAGTAGGATGCAGAGATCAGAGTTTCAGAGCTCCTGTGGCGCAGTGATGCCTCGCTGGGATACAAGCTGGAAATTTGAGGAGCTAAGTACTGAAATTCTTAAACTCTTAAAAGAGTCCATTTTTTGTAAGCCTGATCCTACCCTCTTTTGAGCTCATGTGTTTGTGAAACAGTTTTGCTATCTATTGATAAATGACTTCAGGTTAAACTCGGCTGGGCTAAGGTTGATGCAATATCAGTTTCTACAGCGGGGACTGCAGTCCTTGTCCTGCAAGAACAAAGCGGCACAGCAATGCTCGCTTGTCCATTTGTTTGATTCACCCCATTCATCCAAATGCATTTTTTTTTTACACAGACTACAATAAATAAAGATTGATACAACCTAACGAGGTTCAAGGGAAATTACCCAAACGCTTTTCCTCTTCTTCACCCCTCTAGATTAGGGTCGGAGCTGATGCCTCTTCTATTGATTGTTTATTTGCCCCACACCTTTGCCCAAATAAGCTATTTTTGCTAGATTTTGCTCAGATCAGCAAAGACTGAGCAGCCTGTAGCCAATGCCAATGTACTTGACTGAAGCCAACAAGCAATGTCCATTCCAGAGCATGCAGCTATTCTAGCTTTCTGCTTGCCGCTGCAATTCCTGTCTAACCATCATCCTGGCAGAGAGAGCGGGGAACAGCTCTAATTAGAAGAGGCGCCATTGCCATGGAACTGGTGAGTTAGAGAGAGGTAAAGAATGCATCCTTTCTCTCCAGTCTGAAGACACTTTCACTCCTGCTGGCTCCAGGCCTCGGCTCCACAGCCCCGTTTACAAAGCTGGGTGTCCTGGCTGAATTAACAGCAATGAAATCATCCTTTTCATTATTAATACAGTGCTTGCCCAGTTCAGCAGAGACATGTTAACACAAGACTGGCTGTCACATTCCAGGGGGGACCCATCAGCCTTTGCCTCTGCTTCTTGATGGGTATTCCTGCCTACTACAAGTGAATTGGATGTTTCACTCTCTGCTGCAGTCTATCGGGCATTTACAATGCCGCTTGGTACTGGAGCTCCTACCAACACATCCAGCCAAACAGATCTATATGATAGTGCTCCTTTAGAGTTCTTTCGTATCACGATACCCCTTACCCTATTTTGTACTCTTCTAAGAGCAGAATTAGGAAAGGGAAATACAGCACATTTGCTTTAATAAGACAGAAGTAGTGTCATACGCACAAACAAAAATAACGGGAACCATAAAGAGGGCTAAGGGATGCAAAAGATCAGAGATGCATCTTTTTCTCATGAAGCTCCCCTCAAGTTTGCATTCCTACTGCTCTGATCTCAGCACCAACTCAATTTGCAGATTGTCACTTTGTCTGTTCCTGCAAGTACTTGAGTATGCAAGCAGTAACATTTGCTTTTCATGAACATTTGTGCTAGTAACACTTCACAACGAAAGCAGAAATAGGGCCAAAGTTGGTTCCTCTAAAAGGTGCCTTCAAATATTTATACGTTGACTTGGTAGCAATAGTCCTGACAGATCAAAAGCGCCATAAGCACTGCGAGGACCAAGTGTGCCAAGTTCTGCATTGTCTCTGGGACCCATTCTGACACAATTTCTTTTCTACTATGGTTCACATGCCACCGCCGTCATAGCACATTGCAGCTTTGGGACCCATTAGGGCTTGCATATTTGCATACTCAGCAAGGCTTAAGCTACTTGTCAGCTGTCTATCTTTTGGAAAACCCAGACTGTTAAGGGATCAGTTTGTTTTCCTTTGGGGGAAGGGGTTGATGTGTACAAACAAAATGAACCCAAACATACTAATACAGAACTACCAAAACACTATGTGCCTCCAATACAAACTAACAGTTGATACTCCAGAGCTTTTGGATTGCCTCGCGATGTTTTGAATAGAATGCTCTCTTTTGAAGCAATGATTTGTTCTGGTATCTGGTGAATTCTGCAGCCTAGTGCATGACCCAAAGGTTACACTCCCTAGGATGTACGATGGGTAGCCAAGTCTAAGGGGAGAGCCGTTTCCTAATGCAGACATCCCACTGCTAACCTGTGCTGCCACTCTGCCTTCTGTGCGACCAGTTCTCTCCTTTAGAAAGGAGGGGTCTGTTCCACTGGGTCATCATCCATCCTAACGGGGCCCTTCCTGTCACAGTGCAATGAGTGACGTTGCTCTCTGCAAGTCACACCTGAACACAAGATGCTGTCCTCGAGTCCCACCATTGCCTCTGATGGGTATCAATCACATTTATCCAAAGAAGAGGTACTTGGTATGAAGTCCAAAGCATTTTAAAAGGCTGTTTAAAAAGTCACTTAAGGTGCCTCTTACCTTTACTTCCTCCCCATTTTGGCTGTCCTCCCCCTGCAGTTTTTCTCTCAGTTTCCCCAGCTCTGCTCGCAGGTTGCCCATCTCCTGCTCCTTGGTTTGCAGATATGCTTCCAACTCCACCTTCTGCTCAATCAGCGCCTTCCCCTGAGCCTCAACGACAGTGATCCGGTGCCGCAGGTCATGGTTAATTTTCATTAATCTGTTCTGTTGCTGCTGAAGCTGCAAAACATTGATGCAAGCCATGATGGCCGAGTCCCAAACATTATGACAAAGAAAAAGTAGTGGGCTCCTGTTGAATTTAATCTGGAAAATTCTCCCCCCTCCTTCTCCTCCTCACCCCCAGATTAGTTTTTTTAATATCTAATTATCTACTACAGTTGCAGTCACCAAAACTTAATTGGTTTCCAGAGTAAAGAGGCATTTTTTCCCCTAGCACAGGGAATTCTCCAGCTAAAAGCAAATCCATCACTTCTGATATTACGTTTCAAAAAAGCAAAGTTCAAGGACAGGGTGGCTTACAGGATTCTGAATCAAATCTTAACCCAGAGTAGGAGAGAGAAAGACAAGGCAGTGGAATCCTCAGTATTCAGTTTATATTATAAGTACTTTGCTTTGAGCTCTCAGGCTCTCTCATAAGGCAGGATGTGACCTGCTGGGCATTGTATGGACAGCACCAATTTGAAAGGCCACAGCACCTGCCAGAGGCACGTGGGTAGAGCAGAGATCATCTAGGCCTGGCCCTCACTAGCACCAGAAAAGTCCCATGGCCTAAGGAGATGAGGCAGCGTGAGGATGGGAAGCAAAATATGGGTAAGGAGGTCATTCCTCCTGACACAGAAAGAACCAAGACATCATGTGATTCCCAAAGCCACAGTGGAGTCTGTGATTCATCTAAGACTAAACCCGGATCTTGTGCTGTGGTCCCCAGGGCCACTCATCCTCTCAGTGACCTGTCCACTGCTGGCAAAAGTGAGTGACCTGGGCTGGGCTCAGGCCCCCTCCTCCTACCCCCTTCCTGTGCAAAGAGGTAATCCACATTGCATCCCTGGTGTGGGAGTGTGTGTGTGGAGTCCCTGCTGCCAAACTCTGCAGAGACTATATATAAAATATACAGTAGCTCGCTCTCCTACAGCAGGGATCTCCGGGTGGGGTGAGGCATGGGGGTGCTGAGGAAGTCTGCGCTGCCAAAGCAGAAAGAGATTCAAGAAGCCAGAGAAAGTTACCTGTCCTGTTCCCATGAAAGGGGGGAGGTATCAGGTCTTTATGGAAACAAATAAAACAACCTGTCCTTCCCCCATCTTCCTCTCTTGTTACACTGGTTTCCAGTCATGTTCCAAGCGTGCCTGGTCCTTCCGAACGCAGCTGAGGGTGTGTTTCTGCACTGAAGACTGCCTAATGATTTTGGACACTCCACAGTTATGCCGGACACTTCGGTTACTGGACTAATAATCTGGCATTGCTTACAAATTCTACATTAACTTAAAACCAGGCTATGGAAGTATGGGTGAGAAAGAAGAGAAATAGGAAGACTAAGAGCCACTTACAGCCTCTACATCCTCATTTTTAAGTCCGAGTTCCCGGTCCTTTGCTCTGATTTCATCCCTCTGTTTGTCTACCACTTCCTTCAGCTTCTTCATGACTTGCCGCTCTCTCTCCGACATTCCTGGTTAAAAAAAGAACACAGAAAACAAACTAAGGACAATCAGGAGCTGCTGAGACTGAGAACAACAACAGTGAGAAATATTTAGGTAAAGACTCTGGAAGTTGGTGGAATTACAGAGAAGCTGTTGGAAGATGCTTTAAAGGTTACTTCAAGGGTAACAGGGAACATAGATGACACAACCCACTCTGTAAAGCCACTGCACAGACAACTCCTTAAAAAAGGAACTGACAGTCCTCAGAAACATTTGTAACAGTGGAGTGACACTGCTATATCTTGCTGCCTCAGTAGTTTTACTTCAGTGTTCGCACTATGCCCCAGGGAGCTTGGTTATCTGTGTGACAATCTGCAGAATCAGCTGGCCAAGACCCTGTGAAAATTGTAAAAAAAGATGGTCTGGATCCTCAGCAAGATCTAAACAACATGTCATTATTGTGGATTGCATCTAGATCCAAACCAACTGAGGTGCGCTGGACTAGAATGATTTTATGTTGAAACCCAGTTTTCTGTTGGGTGAAACGGAGATGAAGCAGGACCTTCAGAGGGTACCCCCACTCTGAATCTAGAACAGAAGTTTAGTCTGAACTACACTCACATATTTTCTCCTCATGTTTTGCAACCCTTTCCCCATCCTATTGTGTGATTATTCGTATTTAGAATAATTTAGAATTCAGAGAAGTATTCTCTGAAATACATGGCATTTCACTTGTGAAAGATGTTTGGAACATTGCCAAGAATCCAACATTGATCCTGTTTGAAAATAAAGAAAGGATTAGATTAACCTGAAATCTGACCAACAAATCATTAGGAAATGTCATAAAGCACAAAACAGGAAGCATTATTCCATTATTCACCATTACGGAGATAATCAGGAACTAGCACTACAGTGATGGGCTCTTCAGAGCAAACACAGACCAGGTGGTTTAACTCGGTGAGGTGGTAAATCTACTACACTAACTTTTCCTGGTAACTGCACAGAGACATGGAGTTTGACGGTCCTAAACTATCACATAAAAACATGTTGCACAACATCCCATAGGATGGCTTGAAGATGAAAGCCTGTGACCAGGGCAGTGTGTGGCTGCTCTGGCCAAAGTCCAGCTCAAGCAGGAGCTCAAACTCAGGGTCTACTGCTGTCTTGTTCTACTACCTTTGGCAAAGTACTTAGTTACGTGGGTCCTCAGCTTCCTCCGTTTACGAACTGTGAGTGGTGATAATTCACTCACCCCTCTGGGGTGGCCAGAAAGCCACTTCCTTTTTAATATATTAAAGCAGTTCCCACATCAGAAATGTGCTGCATACACATCAAATGTATCCAGCCAGCCAAGTCTCTACTTTCTAACATCAGCTCAGACTTTCTGGTTATGTTCTTCCTTCATCAGAGAAATCCGAAGTTGCTCGTGTAAGAGAATGTAGGCTGCATGCCTTTAGGAACTCCAGCTTACAGATCATCTACAGTTTGAACTCATGGATAATACAGTAGAGCAAGACAAACCTGAGAGAAAGAGAGAGAGAAAGGGAGTAACTCTTTGGTGGATGTGCACTCCTGCAGCAGCTGTGGGTTCCCATGCAGGCATAAAAAGTGTACCACTGCCAACAGGGGAACAGCAGCTCCGATCCCTCATTGCTAAAGGACCAGAGCTATGGTACGGCGGAGAACGGGTAACCACTCTGCTGGGAAAAGGGCTGGTGATCATGGCTGGCCGGGAATTTGGTTCAGAGGACGTGTTCCTGTCAAACCCTAGAAAACAGCTGAGAGTGACATGGTGTTCGCATTCTAGTATTACATTCTTATCTTTTTTAATTCTGTGGTAAGTCTGCCTGCTTTATTTCTGGACCCTGGTCCTTATCATCTCTCTGCTGTAGATTCTAGTTCTTTGCAGAATAATTTTAATCCTCCACTGTGATAACAGCTCATACCCACCAGGGAGGACAAGTAGACACTGACACATACTGCTACTTATGTGATCTAAAAGATCTCCCCTCTCCTATCGCAACACAGATCGGGTACACTACTGTATCCACAAACCCCACTACTGGATCCACCCTCTGCAGCCAGTCTCAGGGCTGGGGAACAAAGCTAAAAAAAGCTGTATTTAAAAACAAAAAAATATGCAAAACTTTGCCTTGAAGTACAGAGGGACCGCAGTGAAACTTTAGACTGGTGGTTTCACCCCAGTAGGAGCTAGGAATAGTGAGTACAGCTATATTCCTTAGTACTTGTAAGATGCTTTGAGATCTCTAGATAGCAGGTGCTATTTAAAGAATAAAGTACCATTTCAGTGCTGACTGCTTTTCCTCCCACTGTGCTCATTTTTCTCCCTAACATTTGGTGAACCTAAAAGACTTCAATTGTGTGCACAGATCACTACATTATCATTTTTATTTCAAGAGGAGGGGAAAGGAAAGGTGGGAAGTATTTGTGAAACAGTCACATCTTCTTCCATTTCCTCAGGCACCGGGGAAGAGGAGAGGGAGATCACTAAGTGCCCTAAATGTAAAGTAATTATCTCTAAATGATTCAAACTCTAGTAACTGCAAGATCTTAAATGGCACACCCAGCTGGCTTCCCTAGGCACATCCTATGAGCAGCTTCCTGTGAATTGCTGTGATCATAGCATTCATTGTTCGAGCAAGAGAAAGGAAAGCAGCTGAAAAAAAAGAAAAAAAAAAGAAACGGAAAAAAAAAAAAGAACATCCTTTATATTTAGGGACCTGTTTACTGTTGTGTTTATACAACATCTATCACAACAGGCCGAAGTGCCAGTCGGGGCCTGTGGCACTATACCACTACCTAAATATTCAGAACCGAAGTTTGCCTCCACTTTTGAAAGGGAATTGTAGGTTCCTCGGCAGCCTAGCACAAGAGGTTCACACAACTGTTGACATCCTGCTGCTTGTCTGTATTACCACAGCCAGCCTGAGACAGCAGCTCCCCTCGCTGCAGTGAAACAGCAGCCTGCTTGTCCTGTTTGACACACGTTGGGTCAAGTTTGCTCGTGGCATTTTACTAGGATATTCCAATCAGTCAGCACCATCAAGTAGTGCTCAGTTTGAGCTTGGGAGGAGTAGCATTAATGGATGTTGCAGACTCATCTTTAAACCTTCCTGTGTATTTTGTATTCTGCCACGTCCTTTCACATGAACCCTGCTCTGCTCAGACTCTAGCAGGTGCCCTCTGTGCAGAACACTCCTGTTTAGACAGGATTGCATCTGCCTTTTTCTTTCATTATGCTAAAGTGAGGCTCTGTGAACTCTGATGTGACTATTAATTGGCAAGGATTGAATCTCAAAGTCTTGCACACCCAGATCAGTGGCCTCTGTAGCCTGTGTTAAAAACAACTCCTTTAACTGGTGAGTAAGCAGCAAGCTGTTAATCCCAGGGGCTAGCCACTAAGGGGAGACATGATCACAATACTAAATCGTGCTGAGATATGAACACTGGAGTCTGGTCAAAGTTAGTCCAGCTAACAAAGTATTTCGCTTGAAAACCTGCCTCTGTAGACTCTAAATGTATCAGATCAAACGATGGAGACTGAAAAAAAGCAGCATGACTGCTTTTTGACACTATCCAAACAAGTCAGTTGAGACAAATCTATCCCCATTCATTAATGACAAAATTTCCTAAAAGGAAAACAGTTGGGTTTGATATAATAGGTCCCCATAATAAGGTGGGGTCGCTATAAATTAATGTGATTTGACTTAAGCTGATGATTTTGGCCAAAGAATATCAGTGATCCCAGAATCTGGTCTCTGGAATGGGTTTATGGGTTTTGTTTGTTATTATACTTGGGTAGACACAGTAAAAATAACATGGAAAGCATGCCTGGCATTTGCTTGGCTAGCTGAATGCGAAGAGTATGGCTATATTTAAATAGCACATGAGCTGCAGTGAGCTAGATATCCAGTGGAAGAAGGGGGGGGAAAAAAAAGAAAACAAAGGAGAAGCTGGTTCTTTATAACAAGATGTCATAGTCATCACGGTCCATGACTCATCACTGCCATTCTGAAATTTTGCATGGAGTTTGTAAGGCTGATGTTGAGCTGCTACTTTGCCATTAATTGACTCCTAAATTGAAAGCATTGCATTTGTTCTAAAAAAGTGGTGATCTTGAGAGGTTTATCGATTTTTACTTTTTGAAGATTTCATTATACTCCTCCCCAGGGCAAGTGAGCAGTACTCAGCCTCTGGGAGGAAGCAAGTGCAACTTCTGCAGTGTTGGACAGAGTTTCATCCACCTAGACCAAGCCTCCATTTAATCCCAACCTCCAGTGTCTGGAAAAGGATATCCCTTTGTTCCTCATGCTTTACTGCAGAGCTGCAATGGCTCAGCTGTGTGGTCTGGTTTTCAGACTGGCCAGTGGCTTTGCATGCCACACACAGGATGCTAGCCTTTTGAGGGAGCCATGACTTTACTGATAATCAGAACCTACTGTGAAAGTGGAGCTGTGGCTTGAAGCAGTGGACCAGAGTCCTGTCCATGTACAAATAGTTCAGAAAGCCACCCTCTTCCAGACTGACTCACCATCACAGGCATGTTTTGCTGCTGGAGTGACACTGTTACCATTCTCAGCTGCCCGCCCCATCTCTCAGCTCAAGGCTGCTCATCCCCAAAGCTGCACGGTCATTTTTTTCAACTCCTCAGCTTAAACCCCAGCAAAGTATCATGAAATGGACGCAGCAGCCAGCAGCCTCAAATGATGTGCTAGGAACTGTGGAGCAAATAGACATCTGTTCATCTGCCCTTGCTCTTGGGAAATAGCTATTTGCTGAGCTGTGGGTGAGAGCTGAGGATGGCAATTGTTTCAGTTGCTGCAGTGAAATATACCTGTACTTGCAAGTTGGAATCTTATATCTTGAACTTCATTCTGCCTCAAGAAAGAAGTTGCCCACAAATTGGATGTTTCTACTCTTTAGGATTCACCCAGTCCCTGGATTATAAATCTCTTCACTTATTCTGAATTGGCTATAAATCCCAAACAAGTGAGGGAACCCTAAAGGTGGGTAAACCAAGTAAAATAGTCTCTCCTATTCTAGGAGAGTATCACAATATTCTCCTAGAATATCTTCATATGATGGGCTGATATAATTCAGACAAAGAAATCTTGATTTGCTGCTTTACAAACAGTTATCCCGAATAGATGAACAGTTGCACTTATTTTTGTGCATAATGGTGTGAAATAAACATTGCTGGATGGATTATTCTGTTTGTATTAGAAAACTTAAGGAGAGCTGAAGAATGTTTTTTGCAAGATGTGAGCTAAAAAGAAAAAAAAAGTGATATACCAAAAAAAAAAAGGAAGCTAGATTTTACTTTCCGAGATGCTTCTCAGCCAAACAAAAAGCTGTTCAGGCTTTTCTTTCCCTCCTACCCCCACCTCTTATCATGTCTTCAGTATCACCATGTATTCAGAGGTTTTTCTAGTCAGGCAAAAAAACCCAAACCCCAGACCTGCATTAATCTAAAGAAAAAAAATCCAGAATATCCAGTCAAAGTATTTCGATAAAGTATTGCTTTTTATAACAAAAGCAAGTACTGAATTTGAAGTATCAAACTTGCCTTCATGCTTCTGAAATTCCTCTTCTGTGAAATTAATGTCTTTGTGAGACAAGTTTGTCATCAGTTGTTTATTCTCCTCCTGCAGCTGTGCAATTTGGGTAAGAAGGTCCTGTGCTTCCCCTCTCCAGACATCCTCCACCAGTTCTAATTCCTAAAGGGTAGACCAGGACAACACATTTATATTTTTAAACATGTTAAGAGTCTTTGACTGGACTATTTACAGATCAAATTAGTAACAATCCTACCATGATTCTTATAGAAAACAATTAAATGAGACTACTTTGAATTTCTTAGAAGACATCTACTTTTCTAATGCCAGCATCAAGAAACCAACTATCAAAGTCTCCTTTTGCTATATGCTGAATGGAAATACATGAGGAGACAGTTCCTGATGCAAACATTTTTGATGTGCAAGTTACCCAAAGGATGGCTCCTTATGCCCCATTTTGCTGTGAGGACCACATTAAGGGGACTGCTGTGTAAGACAAGATAACCAAACATGAGCAACAATTACCTCCTGCATCCCAGGAAGCAGCCGCAAAGGCTGTTAGAAGTGCCCCAGAAACATCATACTGCGCGGGCCAGGGGAGTCAGTGTTAGGCATGCTCATTTTGAAAGAGCAGCATCTCTAGTCTAAATTTCTGTTATGAAACACAAGTGTAAAATAATGAGTGCATGATACAGTGCAGCAAACCCAGAGCTCCTAGTCCGCGTGGTAAACACAAGACAAAGCTGTGCTGCTTCTTATGTAAATTGTTCTATATGGAATATCTTGAGTGGCATCTATGTTAGCAGCAGTGAGACCAGCCAAAACAACAACTCCCATTTGTCAGGACACTGTCAAGAGCAGCTGTCACCAATCCCCGTAAAGGTCAAACTAGGACAAAAAGTATAAAGTCCTCAAGGAAAAACAGTTGTATTTAGAGCTTTACTCTTCCCAAAAACCTTTGCCATAAATCATACTTCTGCAGTGGGGGGGATTCTCTGCTCTGTTTTCACCTATGTGCTTCAAACCAAAAAAGCTGCATGCAAATCGCCGGAGCCAGGCTGAGTCACTTGCTGACTTTTACATTCATCCAGCATGCCCCTTTCCTACCTAACAACAAAACACATTCAGACAACAACCCTGCCAAGCACAGCTCTAGGCTAAAATAAGCTCTGCTGAGAGATTAAAGGATAGCTTTCTGCTTTGAATGTATGCTCTGATAATGGGAAATCATGTTCCCATTGACTTTTGGGTCCAAATGCCATTTTATTCCAGCATTTATTACTGCATTGCTGTCATTTTATAACGCTTGCTGAAAGTTTTGCAGAAAACACTGTATGACAAATAGATTATAAGTAACGTATTGGTGTTGTAAGCTATGCAGACTTAATTATTAAGAAGTAAAGAAAATTTCATGAATCACCTCTATTTTACTTGAAACTCTTTATCTTGAGAGAAAAGCAAACCTGTAACGAAACTTTATATTGCCAAATACCTAGACTATTTACAGTGATGCTGCATATTACAACTCTGTAGCTAAAGTAATGCTCTGACCTAGTTTAGATAATAAACCAGCACATTCATCAGTTATAAGCATACTGATAAAACCAAAATAGAACACACACAAACCCCCAAACTATCTAAACTTGCATCATTTATGTGTGGCTGCACTGTAATCACAAAACTATATTATTTATTATATAAACAATATATTTATATTTATTTATTGCTCTTGAAGAGCCCAATGAATTGGAGCTGAAATTAACTTCTGAACCCTCATTAGCAGAAGTATCAGACAAGAGAAGGCAGATCTATGGGCCAGTAGGTGCCAGCCGGCTCAGGAAACTCCAGGCGGTGCTAAGCCAGGTTTATGGGCAAAACAGATTCACATCTAAAGATTTTAAGTGCTAAAATCTCATAAACTGATGCTTGCAAGGACCGCTAAAAGCTTGTCTGGATTGTTTTGGAGGCTTTTGGGTCACAACTATTTCTCAGTCTCTGGCTTTTTCTGCTTACCAGTACGGGTCCTGTGAAAGAGGACACCAGCGTACCCTCACACTGGAACACAGATGGATGGGACACTACTGTTCTAGTAGTGGGACTCAGCGCACTGGGATCAACTCGATTAAAAAAATATGTATGTATCACATAATTTATTTTCCCTGTTAAAATATATTTCCACCAAAGTTTTGTCTGGATTGTCTGAACCCTCCGTGAGCCATTTCGCGACTATTAGAGAAGCTGGCAGAGTAGAGGTGGTTAACTGGCAGGAGATCAGTTGACATCTGGCAAGTACAGTGTTATGCAGCTGACATGTTTAGGAAACTTTTTAACACATATATAAACTTCAGAAGCATCTACACAGAACATCAACTTGTACAACGATACTGGGTGTTGCTACTGGGCCCAGTTCAGTATCCACTTCACCAGGCAGCATTTTGTTAATATCTGGGATAAAGCATTACTGTTGACTGGCAATACAGTGGTCTCTCTGCAATCAATGGGGAGATGTGACTTATGGCAGTTCTTCCCAGTGGTGACGTGCCCTCAAAAAACCTTCTGGCAGTTAAGGCTCAGGAAGAGCCAATTTGATTCTAGCAGAGAGCCCAGGCACAGTATGGGACCAGCACAACAGACCACCCACTTGCCTCCACGTTAGATCTGCTAGAAGGGCAAAGGCACAGGTTTGGTATACGTGCTTGTATCTATTCTCTAGACCTTCTTACTTCATACCCTGGAGACTTAGCAGGGCTCTATACATTAAAGATCTTCTACCATCCTTTTCAGAGACACTGCCCTGAGACTTCTTCTGCAAAATGTTGCAGGAATTATCCTGGATTTTTCTTATGCTAAGCGAAAGTTCCCCAGCTGACTTTTTAAAACATAAAACTTGAATTTATTTAAATGAAAGCCAACTCTTGAAGTTTGAGGTCTCTATTCCAGAAATTCCCTGTCTCCTCTTTATTCTGAATCTGCGTGTGCAAGCAGGAATGGCATGAGGCAGCAGTGATGATTTACCACAGTCACTTACTAGAAGAACCATTTCTTTAAATCAGTTATCTGGATGGTTTAAAGAGTAGATCTGCCACTTCCACTGCAGCAAGCGGAGCAGCTCATGCTGTCCTGCCCTGAATCTGTGTGTGCAAGCAGGAAGGGCATGAGGCAGCAGTGATGATTTACCACAGTCACTTACTAGAAGAACCATTTCTTTAAATCAGTTATCTGGATGGTTTAAAGAGTAGATCTGCCACTTCCACTGCAGCAAGCGGAGCAGCTCATGCTGTCCTGCCACGAGGGTAACAGGATATGGGAAATGATCTCTACCTTGGGCTGTCATTGGGGTCAGGGAACACTACGACCACCCCAGATCAAGCCAAGGGACAACATCTTACCATCAGAGGATGGAGCAGGAATCAGGGAGAGTGCTCTTCCCTACTCTTCAGCTCTAACACTGCCCTGAAATCACTTGGTCCTCCATCTCTCTCTTACGACTTGCCTACCCGATGAGTGTGCCAGGAAGACTAGACTGCTAAATCATTCACAGCTCTGGAGAGAAAAGTGTATTATTGTCAGTGACCTTTCCTGGCCTAGCAGGAAGCAGCACTATCCTCTCGTCAGGAGAGGGGATGGAGCAGGAGTCCTAATCGGGGAGGCACGAGGGGAAGGAAATGCAGTGACTGGGAAAGGGGTGGAGAAAGGGAAGGAGGAAGGAAACTTCCAGGAGGGAAGGAAAAAAAACCAACAACACACCCAAACCCTCAGCGACGCTCAGGCAGCATCCACGCAGAGCCCGTGCGCCCGCCCCGGCCGTACCCACACGCGTGCCCCTCCCGCTCCCCACCGGCTCCGCGGCATCCCGGCCCGCACCCCAGCCTCCCTCTTTGTTTTCC